GGGGGGGGGGGGGGGAGGGGGGGGGGGGGGGGGGGGGGGGGGGGGATGGAAGGGTGAATGTGGCTTAGCGAGTCCCGGCGCGGAGAGCTGCGCTATAGACTTACCCCTAGAGGCCTGAGGATGGTAGTCCATTTTAACTTTTAATCAACAAAAATAAGACTCCAGAGAAAGAAAGGAAGAAAAACCTTTAGAAAAACCTTTAACTTCCCCCTCTGTCCCAACCAGGACTTTATTTTTTTAATCATGCAGACATTTATTCAAACATTTATTCTTATTTAGAAGATGTCAGTAAGAGAGATGGTTCACTAGAATAGAATGTAACATAGAAAAACACTGCCAATTTTTTGGGTTTTTTTTTTTTGGTTTTGTGGCTTTGTGTGTGTACATACCCTGTAGCATGCTGATCCTGTCCAGCAATAATTGCGTCAGAGGGGCCTCGCCGTTTTGATGCCTCGACCGTTGAGACAAACTGTTCTCCAGGAAGAAGATGCTGGTGGCTGTGGTGTCCCGCGTGTTGTTCGGGGTTGTCCAGCCTCCAGCCCACCAAGGGCTGTTGGCCTACCAGAACTTCTCAAAACATGGCACCTGCAACATTAACGTAGGACCCTGAGACCCTCTTCATTCACCTGCTACCCCCCAATCCCTCCAGACCCCCACTAATTGCTCTTTTAGCTTCTGTAAAATGCTTGGCTGCTGCTTTAGACATGCCTAGACATGCCCTGACACCCTCCCGCCTGCTATTCCACCCCCCCACCCGTTCTAGGAAACTATAGATTAAGCAAGCCCGGGCATGAAAACTGCCCTATAAGGGAAAAATGGAGATTCCTGGACCCAGAGATAACAGTCAGCATAATCCACAGCCCTGAGAATAGCACCTACCAATAAGAAACTTCCAGGGCTGCATCTTATACATCCAATCAGTTTAAAATTTTGTTGGCGTGCGTGGGCTCCTTGAACCAACCAAAATGTATCTTCGGTATCCCCCTCCTCTGTTTGTCTAAAACCTATAAAAGGCTCCATTCTCCCTTACTCTGGTCTCTCAGCACAATCCGTTGAGTTGGTGAGGTCTGAGAGCCCGAGCTTAAGCCCAAATAAACCATAAACCTTTGCTTTTGCATTTTGGTGTGTTGGGTCCTCAGTGGTCTTTTTGGGGTCCAGTGGATGAGGTACAACAAAAAACACAAATTTATTTACATCCTGTTATTTGGAAGCTTTAAAGAAGATATTTTGATTAGAGAGAAGTTTGGATTGGGGTAAAACTTGGTTTGAATTACAACTATGAATGACCATCATGATATATTGCTGATTTCTCTTCAAAAAAAAAATCTGCTCATGAGGTCACAGCTGAACAGCAGCCCCCACTGTCCCCACCTTTGACTCCCCATGGAGCTTACAGAATCCATGCATTCCTAGGGCAGCTCTCAATGACTAAGCATGGCAGGGGTACTGAGCTAGGCCAGTACTGCAGCTTGAGTGTGATCTGAGGACCCTCCAAGGGGACTGATAAATACTATGGGCAACACCCCATCTTCCCCTCTAGATCTTACACTAGTCCACTGGGGGGACGTTAAGACGATTGCCCATAACAATAGTGTAGATGTAAAGAAAAAGAAATGGACAAGTTTATGTTCAGTTGATTGGCCCTCCTTCAATGTTGGATGGTCCCCTGAAGGGACTTTTGACCTGAGTTTGATTTCCAGGATAGAGGACCACGTCTTCCGCCCATGGATGGGCCACCAGGACCAGATCCCATACATCGTGACCTGGTGAGGCCTCATCGAATGACCTGATGGCCCCCTGCCAGGGTGAAGTACTTCTTTCCCCCCGCCAGGGTCAAGTGCTTCCTTCCCCCGATTAGTCCAACTGCTCCCCCTCCACCTCTGCAGGTCCTCCCTCTCAGACCAAAGGTAGAAGAGAAACCCATTCTCCAGGGAGGCACAGAGGAGAATGACATCTTTCCCCCGCCCTACTCCTCTCAGACGGACACCCTGCCAACAGCACCATAAGTGCAGGCCCCGCCTCCTAACCCTGAGGAGTCACCATCGCTTCCACAGGGACCTGTGCAGGCCACACGGAGCTGAAGGGGGACGGACCCCCAGCCTGACACCATTGTCCTCCCCTATGGCCGGCGGGGTCCCCAGATGGAGAGGGCAATCAGCCCTTTCATTACTGGCCCTTTGCCACCAGTGATCTTTACAATTGGTGCTCACAGAATGTGCCTTTCTCTGAAAACCCCAGGGACTTGATTAACTTATTGGAAACTGTTCTCTTCACTTACCAGCCCACCTGGGACGATTGCCACCAGCTCCTGAGTGTCTTGTTCACTACTGAGGAGAGAAACAGGATTCTGGAGGCAGCCCAGAAATTGGTTCCGGGCTCCACCGGGGACCCTACCACAGACCCAGGCATCCAACTGGGTTCCAGTCCCCCAACTGGGGGACGGGCCACCAGGACCAGATCCCATACATCGTGACCTGGTGAGGCCTCATTGAATGACCCGATGGCCCCCCGCCAGGGTGAAGTACTTCCTTCCCCCCCGCCAGGGTCAAGTGCTTCCTTCCCCCGATTAATCCAACTGCTCCCCCTCCACCTCTGCAGGTCCTCCCTCTCAGACTAAAGGCGGAAGAGAAACCCATTCTCCAGGGAGGCACAGAGGAGAACGACATCTTTCCCCCGCCCTACTCCTCTCAGATGGACACCCTGCCAACAGCACCATAAGTGCAGGCTCCGTCTCCTAACCCTGAGGAGCCACCATCGCTTCCACAGGGACCTGCACAGGCCACACGGAGCTGAAGGGGGACGGACCCCCAGCCTGACACCATTGTCTTCCCCTCTGGCCGGCGGGGTCCCCAGATGGAGAGGGCAATCGGCCCTTTCATTACTGGCCCTTTGCCACCAGTGATCTTTACAATTGGTGCTCACAGAATGAGCCTTTCTCTGAAAACCCCAGGGACTTGATTAACTTATTGGAAACTGTTTTCTTCACTCACCAGCCCACCTGGGACGATTGCCACCAGCTCCTGAGTGTCCTGTTCACTACTGAGGAGCAAAACAGGATCCTGGGGGCAGTCCGGAAATTGGTTCCGGGCCCCACCGCGGACCCTACCACAGACCCAGGCATCATTAATGCCAGCTTTCCCCCTGGCCATCGCAACTGGGACTACAACACAGCAGAAGGTAAGGATAGGCTCCTGGTCTACTGCCAGACTCTGTTAGCAGGTCTCAAAATGGCAGCTCGAAAACCCACCGATATGTCTAAGGTCTATGATGTCAGACAGGGGCCCAAAGAGAGCCCAGCCTCATACTTAGAGAGGTTACAAGATGCCTTCCGGCGGTTCACTCCGTATGACCCAGAAGAGGAGGAATCAGCTCAAACTGTGATGTTTGCTTTCGTTAACCAGGCAGCCCCTGACATCAAGAGAAAGTTACAGTCTTTAGATAGACTAGGAGAAAAGAACCTTAGGGACTTAATAGCAGTGGCGGAAAAGGTTTATAATAGAAGGGAGACAGCAGAACAAAGAGAGGAAAGAAAAGAAAAAAGACAGGAAGCAAGCCTGACCAGGGTCCTGGAGAGAC